AACCGAGGAGGGGGATGAGAGTGAGCTGGGGTGTTATTAAGGAGTCGTGTGGAGCTGTCGTCAGATCGCGAAGGACGCAAACGCTTTAGTCTGCTGCAAGTCTCTGGGGGATATCTGAAAGCGTGGAAAGAGCAGAAGAAGAGTTGGTGGTCAGCGGCTGTTTCAGTGGCTGCTAAGGAAGCACGCTCTACACGTCGAGTCGCGCTCGTCATTTTTCGGACCTGGCCATGCTTCCTCGGTGGCCCTGGTCTTCAATTTTGTAGTTTAGGTTCCTCCATCTGTCTTTTGGTTCTTCGTACATATCCCCCTTCATTATTATCGTGTATTAGAGAGATTGAGACTTGCCTTTCCATATTATGAACTTCGCATAAAACAACTCTTCAGAAACTTAACGGCTTGATCCTTTGAGGCATGAATGCCTATCTGGTGGAGGAATAGTTTATTACTATATAGTTGCAAATTACAAATACTGTAAGATACTGATATTTTATTGGTTAAAGATACCGTATGTAGGCACAAATGTCGAGTCACTCCCCTTCATACTCGACCAGTACATAAAGCGGCTTCGATCCAAGCTTCTGACGGCCCTGAAATCCAACGCAACAGAGGAGGTAAACCATGCTTTAGAGGATGTAAATCCGACCACCTAAATAAACAGAAGCACAAAAGCCATCGGCACGAAGATCCAGGCTAAGAGATCACAGCCGTACCTTCAAATCAGGAAGCTCAATGACGCACGCACACTCATCCACTTGTGCCCCAGTTCGCTCTGTCAAGCAGTACAAAGACCAAAAGGGGAGTGTTGCTCGAAGGAGTGCAAGAGAGAGACATGTTGAGTGGGCGAAGGGAAGGGAGGGAACACGAAAATGCCTCAGGAGAGAGGGAGGACGGAGGGGAAGGGGAGCAGGGTCCACTCAGTCATTCACCAACGGCACCTTGTCCTCTGGCCCCGCAAATATGCTTTGCAAAATTTTTAGACGCCGCATACCTATCAAGCGGATGCCAGTGCCAAGAGTACCTCCTGTAGCCACGAGATCGTTCACCAGCAGCACCTTGCCTCCCTCCAGTCCTCTCTTTGGGTTCCACGATCTCTTCAGGGGGTACTAGATCTCCCTCTTCAGGGTACTGAATCTCCCAGCAACCGCTCAGAGAAGGTTCGCACGTACCTATCAAGCGGATGCCAGCGCCAAGGGTTCCTCCTGTGGCGACGAGATCGTCCACCAGCAGCACCTTGTCCTCCGGCCCCACTGCCCCCAGATGCATCTCAATCTTATCCGTCCCATACTCCAACGCGTACTCCTCGCTGATCGTTGCGCCTGATAGGGGGGGAAAAAGTGGAGGGTCGACACCTAGGAAGTAGCTTGACGCTAGGAGCATTGCAATCTAATCGTCAGGTGATCAGGTACGCATTCTTCAGGATATGAAGGGAGGAACCAGGAGAGTGGATCAACAGGAATCTGGGAACGGGGGAGTATATTGGTTGAAGTGGATGAATGTGAGACGTGAGCCCAGCCAAGCTCCGACATACTGTGTAAACTCAAATGCAGCAAATAGATTCTCTTTCATTAATTCTTCGTTTTATGCAGCTTGTCGGGGATTTCAAGGACTCGTTTAATTCTTGTTAGATTTTCTGACCAGTGACTGGACGACGAATGTGCTGCTGACCTGGAAGCTTCCGTGGTTTCCGGAGGCAGACGAACTTGGCGCCAATGGCGAGAGCAATTGGCGGGCCGAAGATGAAACCCCGTGCTTCGATTCCTGATGAAAAGGTTAGCAAAGAGCAAGGGCTTAGAATCGTCATGTTTTAGGGAGTTAGACAGGACGACAATTTTGACTATTGAATGAGCGGGCTTAGGAGGATAACAGCACGCAGAAACCAACCGGTTTCAGTAGGGCCCAATGCCTAGAAGCTACAAGACGAATATCTGAACTGTCAAAAGAGTAAACGTCATACGAGAAGTTGTACTACTGCAACGCGTACCAGCAACGGCGGTGTAGCCCTTGTCCTTGTAGCGCTCGACGAACATGTCGATGCAGTCGTGGAACGCCTTGGGCTCCAGCAGCAGTGTCGTGACGTCACGAAACATGATTCCTGAAACGAACATCAATGTCGCGAAACGTGATGCCTGAAACAAATACCAATATCGAGCAACCTTCTCCAAGATTACAAGAGCAGCGTCACGGAACAGCGCCCGTGCATCAAAGGATAATTACGACCAAAAGCTACACTGCATATTTACTAATAACATCCGCATTGGAAGAGGATCTTGGAGGCGCTCACCCTTCTTAGGCCAATCAGGGATGGCTCGGATGGACTTCTTAATCCCTTCCACCCGGCTATCCCCGTCCCTGTCGGCCGACATCGTCGTTTGCGGGTGGGTAAAAGCCGGTCTTTGAAAGAACGGCGATAGCTTCAGCAGCAGAGGGGAAATCTGATGCACGCGTGGAAGAGACGACTTCGCAAGCCCGAGCATGAAATGTTCCTAAAATAGGCGAGGGCTACCTGAAAGAACTGTGGCTGTCTCTAACCGTAAAATGGGCGATCCCGGCGTTTCTAGCTTGCAGATTCTGGCTTTATCCCTGATCAGCAGCATTAGCCTTCTACGGGTGCGTGATTCTTGTTGGTTTACAATCGACTTTTAACGGTTTATCTTGGTGTGCAATGGTTGAAAGCGGTGAAATACCAGAAACCACTCCTAAACGTGGTTGACCGTGTTAGACCGCAACAAAGGAGCTTTGAAATGACCCAACCCCTGAGGTTCTGCTGGTTGGAAATCATGGGCCGCGAACCGCATTCAAACGCGTAAAACGCCTGGTTGACACCGCCAGAGCAACTTGCTGCAGCTTTGGGTGGGACCTCGTCAGGTACAGCGTTGGAAGCTGTGACCACTTTTCATGGGCAGTTTGCATGGGCAGTTCGAGGAAGTACCCTCACAGTTCGGGTAACTCTTTTCCTGGTGATCCGAACCACATCGTAGGGTGGTGAATTGATCCACGCATGAACAAGAGTCTTCAGAAGGATAGAACAATGACGGCCGCAAAATGCTGGTATATTCGGGCTCAAAATTTACGTGCTGGGTTTTCTTCCACGCGACTGGTCCCAGATTTCCCAAAGTTATGGGAACCAATCGAAGTAACTGGGAGTTTGGTAAGTTGAAGGGTGCCCCTGCATTTAGGGGTGGCATAAAACTCATCCACCACATATTATAGGCCAATGAAAATGATGCACGTGTGATTGTATGATTAGACTTCTTTTGTCACGCTCGCAGCTATTTCAGAGGGTTATAGACTATATCATGAAATTCGCATTCTTGTTGCTGACTGATGTAGACTACAGCGAGTACGCCTTCGAAATCGGATACTATCCTGCTTTGTTTGGGTGATTATGAAACGTAGTGCCAGTGCAAATCCAAAAGCTTTACCGCAATTTCGGGTTCCCGCCGCTCAAGTATCATTATCTTGTAATACCTTGTAATTCAAGTAGGGTTATTCATTAAAATGCAAGGAGTGTTTTTTCCTGCTTCCGTCGGTTCCGCTGCTGCATCCGCTCCAATACGCGCCTTCGTCCAACGCGCCAATCGGCTGCTGGCACGTGTCGAGAGCCTGCCTCCTAGCAAGCTCAGCGCAGAGTGTCGCCGTCGCCTCACGAAGCTCATCAGTCGCGAGCGGCAGTTCCTGTCCTCGATATTGGCACAGTCAAATTCCGGTACAGGCCCTCCAGAGCAGCCAGCACGGCAGAAGGCGCAGCGTGGTTCAGGATGGGTGGCGAAGCGGCTTCAAAGGCAGGTGATTGTAACGGATGTTAGGTGACGGCGGGGGTGAAGTTCAGGCAACAAGAGGCAATCATGCGTGGTGCAAATGCATGACTGATAAACAACCAGAACAAAATGTTATAATAATCATGTAGAAATTTATTTTGTCTTATCAGCATGCATTCTACATGTATTCCTGCCTCCCGATACCCATGCATGCTCCTATTTCTTTATTTCCCCCCATCCCCGTGTATACTCTCAATCTACACCCTCTACCCAATGATCCAATCTCCCCCTCTCTGCCAAGCAGTTCCAACCTCCCCCACATGGAGACGATCGTAGCCGCCCTGTGCCACCCGCTGGTCACTCAGGTCTCTGCCGCCATGACGCACTTCCCCACTGCCGCTGCTCAGACCAATCAGATCCCGACACGTCAGCACTCCAAACCAATAGTCCTTTCTGATCCAGCGATCAAGCCCGATCCAACGGCTCACATTGATCCAGCAGTGCACGTGGACCTCGTGTGTCTATTTGATGGGCTGCCCACGTGGCTGCTGGCAACAGCTCGCAACCCCAACCGGATAGCTTATCACGACCCAGCACCAGTTTCAGCCACATGGGAGGGATACACTCATGGTAAGGCCACGATATAATGTATCTCACTCGGAACATGTCCTGCTTTAGAAAGTTTGACAGGCCTAGTGTGCACGCTGATATGGTATTGTCGAGAAGGTACGTGCAGGGTGAAAGCTCAGGGTGTGTAAGGTGAGGTGTGTGGAAAATCTGCAGCAATCAAGCCCACCCCTCATATCCCCCGTTCCATTCTCCCCCTCATTACAACACCCCATTCATCCTTACAACCCCCCACCCCCATTCGTTCAACCCATCATTCCCCTCATTCTCCCCTTAATTCTCCTCCCAATCTTCCCCCGCTTTCACCCCCCTCTTCCCCCCTCTTCACCCCAATCTTCCCGCCCTTTTCCCTCCCCAGTCCCCCCTGCCCTCCGCTCATCCGATCGCGGCATTCGGCGGCGCATTCTCTCGGCCCAATCAGCAGCTGCCACGTGTCCCCCTGCAGCCAGGCCAGAGGCGGTGGTGGTGGTGTTTGGCAGAGGCGTGCGGGGGAGTGTGGGGGCGATGGTGGTGAGGGATATGGGGGGAGATAGAATGGTGGAGAGAGGTATGGCGGGAGAGGGAGTGGTGGAGAGGGGTTTGATGGGGGAGAAAGGGAGGAAGAGTGTGGGAGGGATGGTGGTGCAGCCTGGTTTGGTGGGAGATACTGTGAGGGATAGTGTGAGGGATCGTGTGGGGGATAGTGTGAGGGATAGTGTGAGGGAGAGTGGAGGGATTGCGGTTGGTAGAGAGAGAGTATGCGGTGTGATCGGTGGGGAGATGGGAGGGGGGAGAGAGGAGATGATGGAAGATGGAGGCACGATGGAGGAGGGAAACGCGATGGGTGGGTTAGGAGATGGAGATGCGATGGTGGACGATGCGGAAGGGTGTATGGAAGGGGAGGAGGATGAGGTTGGGGAGGATGAGACAGCTGACAGCTGGGAAGAGCAAGATGAGGAGGAGGAGGGTGATGAAGATGTCTTTCTTGTGCTGGTTGGTTCAGAGAGGCAAATGAGATGGTTGGAGAGAGGAGGAGGAGTAGAAGGAGGGGGAGGAGAGAAGGAACGGTTGGGGAGTGCGAGCATGCAGTTTGACAGGGATGCGGGTACCTCGCATTCTGCTGACTTGGCGCATGGTGTATGGTTCCGTATTTCCACGCGTGCGCTGCCAGCACATGTGGCAAGGCTGCTGGACTGTTTGCACGCTCAACCGTCCAATCAGCTGCTTGCTCAACCGTCCAATCAGCTGCTTGCTCAACCGTCCAATCAGCTGCTTGCTCAACCGTCCAATCAGCTGCCTGCTCAAGCTGGTGTGGCAGACAACGCATGTGGCAGTGCAGCTCCACATGCACACCCGCCTGTCAAAACACCTGAGGAAACACCTGAGGAAGGTGGTGTGATTGAATCGAAGGGGACAGCTGGAGTGCTGAACCTGGATGTGACAGCAGCGGTGGCTCTGGTGTCAGAGCTCTCCCACGGGGGCGCACAGCGGATCGCAGGCTTGGCAGAACCGGACCTGCGGGCGAGGTTCGGAAACACGTGGCAATTCATGAGAGATCAGGTTGGTGGGTGGTGGGGAGGGTGTAAGAGGGGATGGGAGTGAGGCAAGGCAAGTGGGAATGGCTTTGGAGAGTGTGCTAGGCGTTGAAAGGGTTAGTAAGGAATTGTGAGGGGTTGAGAGGCAACTCACCAATTCTATCAGGTAGTTTCACTGTGCACTGGTGTGCTCCTGTGTGCATACATACATGAAAATGTCATGCATGAAAAGGTCATGCATCATAATCTCATGCATGATACTTCTTGTATGATATGCATTGTGTATGAGCATGGCGGGTGGCTTGGCTTATCATGCATGAGGGACTCCCGTGCGTGCTTCTTCCATGGCTCTCTCTTCAAGCAACAACTCTATCTCATTTTCACAAGTTTCACACCGGCAGCTGGCTTGGATTGGTTTGGATTTTCTTGGCTGATCGTGCATGAGGACCCTTCTTGTTTGCTGCTGCCCTAACGCTCTCTCCAACCATTGAATCTCTCCTTCTCACAAGTTTCGGTCGCAAAGTATGCCCACCTATGCCCCCACCCACCCATTCGCCAATTGTCAGGCACAGGCCGAACTGGCCCAGCCTCAGCTGCAGCTTTTGCAGGAGTCGCTTGTCAACAAGGGCTTGATCATGTGTGAAACTGCTTATAAAGAGTTCTCTTCTATCGTGGATGTCATTGCTGGACCCAGGGAGAAGCAGAGAGCTGCTGCTCTGTTTTCTTCTCATGTCAGGTATGCAATGCAGGTACACAAGGCAGGTGCACGGGGCAGGTACGCAAGGCAGGTAAGGGGGCAGGTGGCACACAGGGTGTTGAGCACTGATCATGCCGCCTTACTACCTGGTACCAGCCCCTCCTCCCCCCCCCCCCCCCCCCCCCCCCCCCCCCCCCCCCTTTTTTTTTATAATCTAACATGTTTTTTCGCTCATCTTACACACATCAACAGAGTGGTGCCGGATCAGCCCTCGTCTAGGCTGCTCTCTTTGCCCTCCACTGCACGAATCAAGCAGCGCCACGTCATCATCTTCGGGACGGCCGACAGCTGGGGCTGCGCTACACTCTCTGCCAGCTCAGCATTTGTTCGGGCGGCTCGCCATGCTGGCGCGTTGGTGAGGGTGGTGGAGCATCGTCCATGTGCGCTGATGGGGGAGTGAGTCAACGGCTGAGACTGAAATATGAGGTGATGTTGAACTATATTGCATATCTTATAACTGCCTACAGCTTGTTAGTGTACTAGTTTAGGTATTAGAATCAACTGCTGGTGGTGTACCCTTCTCCTTTCTCTTGTTCCTATTTGTACTCCTCATTCCATAATGAAACTCCTCCTTTGCCAAAACCTCTAGATACCATCTCCTAGCTCCTAGTCTTCCTCCTAAGCCTAAGCCATGCCTCCTAAGGTTACCTAGTTATTGTGACAGGTGAGGAGATAAAGTTGCGTTGGATTGGGGTGGATTGGATGCTTGAAATGAGGGTGCCCACCTGTCATGTAGTCAGTGGTGATGTGATGATACTGTTGAAGATCACATGTGTCTGTCGTGCTCCTGTAGGGGGTCACTAGCACCAATTTCAGTATTCATTTCTTGATTGCTAAATATTTTCTAATTTGTGCTTTGTATAACGAGGCATTGTGTAGAAGTTTCTTGACGCCACCGAACTTCTACGACAAACGATATTCAACCCTTATCGAACCATACACCGCTTGTCTCCAAGCCAAGACCTCAGCTTGCACGTACGTTCGTCACCTTGATACAGCCAATGAGAACTCACAGCCAGAAAGCCCCGTGTGGCTCGGATGCGCTGTTCACCAGTAGAAACCGACCACAACCAAACCGAATCTTTCTCTTCCCCCGAGCCTAGACCAGACCACAGCAGTCGCCGCAGCCTAGTCGTCGTGCCAGGTGAATCTCGATTTCAACTTGGCGGTGGAGGCGGTAGTGTGTCCCGCCCACTCTTACACCACATCAGCCACGTCCGACATTCGCAAAACCTTCTGCGCGCTTCGATTTCTCCCAGCCATTCGTGTGCTGCATTTTTTATTTGTCGCGCGTCGCGTTTCTGCTAGGCTGGTTGGATGGATGGTGCTCTGTATGTTGTTGGTGGTGCCTGCCATGCCATGCCATATCGTGCGTGCGTCCATCCTTCGCAAAGGCTTTGGCTTCTTTTGGGGTTGGGCACAATTCGCGCCTATTCCCCTTGCCGACTAACCACATCTGCTGCTCAAGCAACTATAAAAAGAGGCGCCGCGAGCTATGACCGACAACAGTAGAGCTATAACATCACCGCATTTCGTAGCGGCGATTCACTCAAGCAGCTACTCGTCACCGATGCCACTTCTGGGACGGCTAGAAAACAGTTCGTCGATTCGAGGTCTTGCTTGAAGACCACGTAGTTGAGCATAGCTGGCGGATATTATCATAATTGCTATTATGAGCGTTTGAGCAAGTACGCTTCGCATGATTTCGGAGAAGCGTAGATGCACCTGTGCTCCAACTTCCTCTCATAAACTCAAAACCGCGATTAGCCTGACACACATATTCGTTTTCCCAAAAAATGGCGGCAACGGCGACGACGACCTGCCGTCCCCCCACCCCCGCCATTAGTGGCGGATTAATCGCGAACCGTTACCGCCGCATCCGCCTCGTCGGCCGCGGCTCGCAAGGAAACGTGTGGGAGTGCGAAGACGTAATTACTAGTCTCCGAGTCGCGTGTAAGAGCTTCCCCCATGGAAACACTTCTGTTTGCGACGCGCGCCTCGGCATCTGCGCCGAGCTTTGCGGGTTGAAGCTGGTGTCGGGCCATCCTAACATAGTGCGGCTCGTCGAATTTGCCGTAGACTCCTCCGAAGTCCACATAATCATGGAGCTTGCCCCAGGCGGTGATGATTTACTATCGGAGGTCATGCGACGCGGTCCGCTCGCCGAGCCGCTCGCTGCTAACGTTTTCCGTCAACTCGCGTCGGCCGTCGCGTTCTGCCACGCCTGCGGCGTGATGCATCGAGACGTGAAACCAGACAACGTGCTGCTCGTGCGCGTCGACGATTATTCGCGACAGCGCCCGCCGTCCGCTAGCCCGTCCGATGCCGCGCGTAGACAGCGCCCGCCGTCCGCCCCGCCGCCGCCGCCTCTATCTCTTCCGCCGCGTGACTGTCACAACCGCCGCAACGCGCTCCTCGCGACAGCGCCAGCTGCGCAGCAGAGTCCGCCTTCCCCCCCCTCTCCGCCGCCGCCTCTGACGCTTCCGCCTGCGCAACACTCTTCTAACGTCGCTTTTAGCAGCTGCTTCGATAAACGCATAATCTCAACACGGCTTGGCGTTACGACTGGAGGAGAGGGCCCCGTTTGTTGTAGCGAGGCGAGCTTTAGCGGTCGTGTGGCGAATCGTGAACCGTTTAGCAAGATGGATGAAAACAGCAGCAGCTCAATCACCAGTGGCAGCACGAGCAGCAACAGCAGTAGCAGCAGCAGCAGCAGCAGCAGCAGCAGCAGCAGCAGCAGCAGCACGAGCAGCAGCAGCAGCGGCGGCAGCAGCAGCGGCGGCAGCAGTAGCAGCGGCGGCAGTGATGTTCGCACGCAGCCTCATAGACGGGATATCAAAAGCATCTTCTCCAGGAGCTTCCCTGCTTCCTCCAATAAAGGCACGTCTCTCACGCTCCTCCCCGCAAACCACTCCGACCCCGCACGCAATCCGGCCTACTATTCTGCCCCGTTTCAGACCGCCTCCGCCCCGCCGGTTCCCACTTCCCCCGCTTCCCCCACTCCCCTCGCTGCCCCGATTTCCCCCGACCGCGGAATCGTTGGGGTGAAACTAGCCGATTTCGGCGCATCGATTGCAGTCAAGGGCGGGCTATCAGGGCGGGTTAGAGACCGCGGCGCTGGCACGAGGGGGTATAAAGCGCCGGAAATGGGCGGGAAAAGCGGATATGACATGAAAGCTGATGTGTACAGCATGGGGATCACGCTGTGCGCGATGCTGACGGGTCACATTCTTGACACACCATTGGTGGACTTCTGCTCGCCCATCTGGAAGGGCGTGTCTGCTGATGCAAGGGATCTCATCCGTCGGATGCTTGAGGACGACCCAGATCAACGGCTGAGCTCGTTCGAGGTTCTTGAGCATCGGTGGCTGAATCAAAGCGAGGTCCGGAATCTGGACATTGCAACTAGGTGCCCTTCGTTATTAGCATCTCTGCTACCATCACCTTCGCCGCCATCCCCACCCTCCCCCGAAGTGGCAGCAACCGTCGCAACAGTCACAGATGCAGCCGTATCAGCAAACTCCCTGGCTGTACCAGCAGACTCTCTGGCTGTACCAGCAGAATCTCCAGCTGTACCAATAAATTCTCTGGCGTTTGCGTGGACGCCACGTGGCAGCTCGTCGTTTTCGTTTTCGTCGCCGCCTGGTGCAGGGGGTGTGTCGACGCGGCAAAGAGGGATTTCGGTTTGCACGAGCTGTGCTTCAATAAGCTGCGCCTGAGCTCTGCCATAACTGTCCAGCTGAAAGAACTAAAATCAGTATCTTTTGACTGTATGAGGGCAACGTCGCATCAATGATCCATGTGCTGCTTGTGTGGGATCCGTCCCCACTGGTACATACAACACACATACACCTGTCTGCCATCAATACCGAGGCATGGAAAGATGGTTTTGTGTTTGAAATAAAAGCGGTTGAGTGAAGTCTCAAGCCGTGCTAGCTAAGAAAATACTGGTTGTTAAACTTAAGGTGTAGTGATTTGTCTCCTGACCGACTCTAAACGATTATTGTTGTGGCGAGTCGATGTAACTCTAATTTATGTGTTGACGTGCCATCGTTTTGTTCCACCTGGTCCAGAAGGCGTCTTGTTGATGCTGTTACAAACGCGGAACCTCAGGCCTCCAACGGGATTCATTATTTTGATCCGTAAATTATCGTTCGGGGATCCTAACTGAAGTCAGATAGGGAGGAGTGAGGAATAGGTGCTGACAACTGCCCAAATGTACTCCACATTTATGGGACGAGAATGTCATGAGTATGTACAGTATTCACCTTGCATTTGCAGGGTATGGCCGGACCCTCGATTCCTCCAATACTGTTGTTCCTTGCCCTTCGCAGCTTCCTCTCTTTCATCGAGCCCGCCAAAATTGGACATCGTTGCACACTACGGTGGCAGGTCCCCCGAAAAGCATCGCGACCAGAGCTCGACATTCCGTGTTTTACTGTATTTCCCTTTCTTTGGATGTTGGCAGGGCTGTCCAACTTACACAAAGGGAAACCCACCATGCGGGAACAGCCCCTCTCGTTTCTCTCTCGCAGCCTCGAAAGAGGCGTGCGTCATGATGAAAACCACAAGAATGCCACTTCGAGAAGGATGGAATCATGAAGGGGATGCTTTGAGCCACCGCCCATGTGCGCACGAGGCTTCTTGCCTCCTCGTGCCGAACCACGAGGGCCGGAGGTGCCCAACGCTGACCCGAACCACTAGACACTCAGCTCGGTTTTGGATGCTTGTATTCTTGGTAACCTCCCTGTCGCCGAGTTACGCAGGGATGGAAGATATTACCCTTACGTCAAGTCCCGTAAGCGATTTAACGAAAAGCAAAAGGGCAATGTGCGAATAACGTTACTCCGTGATTCACGATGTGCTGTCAAAAGAAAGGATGCGGTGGGATGTTGATGGAAGAACACAGCTGGTGGCCCAATCGCCAGCTCTTCAACAGCGAAGCAAAGAAGATCAGCCTTTTCTTCGCTGACGGGGAATCAGCGCGAGCGAACTACAGAACTGAAATGCACCAGGTGAACATGCGAAATAATGGATGAGGCCGTGCCTCTCGCAAACAGGCCTGCATTCCTCCTTCCAAAAGCAGCCAACGTGCTGACAGAGATTCAAGAAAGGAAGGCTTACAAAATTTGCAGTGGGCCCAGTTGTGCCAGATGCAATCCCTCGCTCCAAAACCGGATGAGTTTCCTACCTCAACATAGGCTGGTTTCTACGGGAAATAGAAGAGATCGTTCTCGATGTAATTGGGGCGCGGTGGGCGACGGTCAACGACCCCGTTGGACATACACGTAGACCAGAACATACTAGCCCAAATCGTGCTAGTAGCGTGACTGTTCATCGATGTCATCGCCGAAGGCCCTTACTCGCGTGCGCGTATGCAGTCGTCGGCATCCAGTAGTCGCAGACTCGCAGACAGATGCAGACTGCGCAACGGGAAAGATTCGGAACGTCAAGTATCAACGTGGCTAGTCGCCCACGCATGTGATGTGCGGCGGGGGTTGAGGTATGCTGCCACCGTACTGGTGGTTCTAATTCCATGACTCAGCAGCGTGCGTCTCCCAATATGAATCTCACGACCTCTCACCTACTACACCGGATGCTCTTCTGATACCTATTTGTTTTGCGGGCGGTTGCTCCTCTCTTGGGTACGCAACGTCCAGCCGCAAAAAAGGGGACTACAAACTTCGGGTAGCACGGGGTTACGTAAGGCATCGGTGAACAGAGATTTTATACGCCTGTTCTTTCTGCGTGCATTCGGCTGCCTTTCTGGGTCGGTGCACTGCGCACGGGCCGGTAACGCGTGGGAGATATTTTTTAATTTATTTTTTGTGAGAGAAAGCGTTTGATGAGCACGGGAAATTGTATAGAGAGGGCCTTAAACTGTACATCATGTGTACTCGGTTGCGAATTCTCGGGTACAAATTGAGCCGTCAGATGTCTCCTTGGCAGCAATAACAATTCATCTCTCGGCAGACCAGCTACGGACCCAGCCGATTTCTTTCAGAACTCGAAACACAGTCTTGTGTAACTCAAGCCCCCCTCCCGTTTTCAGAATTCATCGTTACGCAGCCGACTAACGCGCGCTCATAATCGTTGCTTGCGGGATTGCGCCTCACACTGTAGGATCGCCGGACCCAATCAACGCTTTCTGCTGCCATGGCTTACGCAGTGGAACCTCAGGAGCAGCGACGACTCTTCGGACGAACCTCATCATGTAGCAGTGTTGGTTACCGTCATCGCGGACTCGAAGGCTCGCTGCGCATCCGCGTCGACGCATTGGATACGGACTATGTAGATTACGTCAGCAGTGACGTATCGATCGGCGATATCGTGTACCTGGGAGATCGTCGGGTGCCGATAGTACCCTGTCACGTGGAGGTGACTGCATCGGGTGCATTGATGGGATTTCGCTACGCCGTGGATCTGAACGGGGACGAGGAGGACGACGAACATGGTGATAACGACGAAGCGTTGATGCAGCGAAGGGAGAAGATTCTCGGAGCGCGAAACGGAACCCCTCGCGTTGTTGCGGATGGCCATGGCAGGGAGTGTGACATGAACAAACCCAATCACTTTAGAAGTGCCTCCCTGCAGTAATGCAGCGATAACGGCGAGAGGGGAATCTGTGGAAAAGCGACAATCGTCAGCGAATAACCAGAAGGCCATGTATATATACAATAAACGGTGCTTGTAGCGCAATGTACGGTAGTTAGGCCTTGCTGGTGGGAAGGACTGTTCTAGATATGCTGATGCATGCATAATTTGACCGAGACTTCTTCGCAGCCAGATTGCTATGTAGATGAGAATGCGCATACAGTCACACTATCTGCGTCCCCTCCGGTTCCGTCCCTCCCCGTCCATTCGCGTCTCCTCCCGCCCTTTTGGCGTCCCTTCCCGTCCCGTCCCCACTAAATCGGATAACATACCCCAGTATGGATGTCTACGACTCGCGTATCTAACGTCCACCCGCCATGCGCGTCGCTATTTTTAATGTGCCGACTATGGTTGTCCCTTTGACAGTGACGCCTCATCTCGCTCATGAAGTATGTCCTACCGTCTAGGAGATGGAAACTAGGTGTTCTCTGGTGTGGCAGGCAAGGCGAATGGCGACGCTTCCTTATCTGCTACTAGTGAGGTGATAGTCTCTTATTTCTTCAGCTCCGCGACATGTTTGCCGTGACATCACAACCCCCTTCCCTCGAGTGTCGCACGAGATACTATTTAGGCTTGTCGCTCCGTCCGTTCGTCACCGTTCAGTTTGCAGCCAAACCGCGCTGCACCGAACCAGCCCCCTCAAAATTTGGCGATGGGCATGTGGTTACCTTGTTTCAAACGTCTTGGATTGTATTCCAACGCAGGGACACCATGCGAAGTTGGGACAATTTCCGTGTTGCATGGCTATTTCTCCTAGTTCAACGTGACCTACAAACGATGCTCTGAAAGTTGCAATTATAAAATAAACACACGAATTTCTCAGCAATGTCAGTACACCGCTCGTCTCAAGTGTCAGTCAGTTGAGTAAGTGCGGCTGAGTGAGTTCATCTGACTCGCATACTCCGCTCGTCACCCGACACATCGAGACTAGCTACTTCTGACGCAAGATTGGGCATGAGATGTTTTCCAGCCTTTCAAACTACGGGGTAACATCTGACGTAGACTTCCATTCGAAAGCAAATAAAAAAACAAAAAAAAAAAACAACCAGGTGTCCCAACTTCGGATGGTGTCCCTACGTAGGAATACGTAGGACTTACCTTTGTTTGGGTGGAAGAAATGTGGGACGCGGGCAGGTGAAGCTGTGGCAGGTCAGAAAGGTTCGGTAGTGATGAGGGGAGTTTCGAGGACCCCAGTGGCACGGCAAATTGGTTCGGCAGCCACAAGAAACGTGACAACCAATCACCAGCCAGTGGAGCCTGCTTGACACGAGAAGACAACCGTCCAATCGCAGGTTTGCCTCGCCTTGCCCTACACCGAACCAGAAACGAAGCCACCACAGACCAACCACTTTATACCGAACCAGTCTCCCTAGAATCTGGTTTGCAAATCTCCCAGGCCTGGACCACACAACCGCCCCGGGCACTGGCCTAGCCCCGGACCTCGTCAACGCGCGTCACAGCCAGCAAATGTCCAGTCAGGTGAGCAGCATTATCGTACTTAACCGTTATTAAAGTCTACTTTTGCCGCTCCAGCAAAGCCCTGCGTTGTTGGTGTGGAGTGGGGGAAGTTTGCCCCTCACCTGCCCCGCTGAAACTCGCCATGGCTATTTCTGCGGCTGTCACATCACCGAGATTCCCACAGCGCGCTTTCATGTTCGTGTGCTGGAACTTCTATGGCAGCTGTCCTTGATAGATTATGAGGTAGCAAAGCAGGAATAGCTTGCTGTCCTCCTCCCGTGACCTCATCTCGAGATTCTCACTAAAGCCCGTGCGCGGTCCGAAGCATGGCAGATTCGTTAGAATTTCCAGTTTCGAAGTCGGCGCGCTCGCTCGTATTCAGTCAACCAGCGTAGCAGTCCCTTCGATATCTGATTCTGGTGTGCTACTTCGTGCTTCCTCATAACCCCGCACTTACCATTCTGAGGTTATTACTGAGCTCGGGTTCGAAGATGTTGGAATATTTCACTCGCGGCTTGCATCAGGCGGCAGACGAGCTCGGAGTGCCTTTCTTTCTGTCCGCCATGCATTTTCTGTCGTTCGTCACGCTGCCTCTCTTCCTCCCAGCTCTTCTCCTTTCCACCATGGCTACTCTCCTCCTTCCTCTCGCCTCCTCATGGCCTCTCACCTACCTCCGTCAATTTCCGTCAATCGGTCTTCACGTTGACAGCATCGTCGTTCTTTTAGGAAAGATTTCAGATCAGAAATGGACGAGCGACGCGGCGACGATTTTCCGTAACCCGTCCTCGTCTTCGCCGGCTGGCGAAAGGATTCGCGACCGGCGCACGCGTTCCTGGGACAAATTTCTAACAGATAACATCTCGGCTACCATTCGTCCTCTCCATACAACTGGATCTGCTGCTAATTCCGACCATTCTTCTTCTTCCTCTTCCGTGGAACGCGCTTTGTGTCAGTCTCTCTGCCTGATGACGGACCTTCCGTCCAGCTCTCCCAAGTACGGCTTCATCCGGAGTGTCGCGGAGGAGCTGCTACGAGCCAACGACAGCTCCAAGGATGCCAATCTCTCTGAAGCCAATCGTCGAGCGCTTCTCCAGGCGTTTTCCCGGACCATTTCGCGCCTCGAGAGCTCCTTGAAACGCGGACAGGCGTCCGCGTTTGGACTGACCCAGATTCTGGATCAGGTTTCTCGCGGCGCGGCTGCTGCTGCTGCAGTGGCCGTCGCCGCAAGCGGCGGAGGAGGCGGAATCAGCGGAAGCGGCGGAAATGGGGAAATTCGGCGGATGGCTGGCGGAAATGGCGGGGAGCATCCTCACGCGGAGAAGCTGTCTCAGGAGCTTCTATGGTTGGTTCTGAAGCTCCAGGGTCGGAAGGGAATCGAACAAGTGGTGGAGGTTTGGGCGGAGGCTCGGGTTCTGTCTGAGCTGGCAGTACGATCTTCGCCACGTGTACAGCTGAATCTTCTGAAGCTGACGTGTATTGTCCTGGATTTGGTATCATCCCACGTGGTGACATGTGACGTTAAGTCCCAGGAGCATCTGCTGCTGCACTGGATGCCGTTGCTTTGTCAGTGCCCAAACACATCTGACGGCCTGCTCTCCACTGATAGTAACCGACAGGTAGGTCTGCATCTACATGGGCTGTGTGATGCTGAATGATGACTTTGAACCCCTTTACACCACCACCCCTTCCTCGTATTCAAAGTTCTGCGTCTTTTATGTTTTGTTTTTTTGTTTTGCATATAACCTCCATGTCTTCTTTTTCCCTCCCCCCCCCTCCCCCTCTCCCCCGTCCTTGTCAGCATCATCTACCCTAAACTTCTACTCACTTTCAGCAGTCTGTGTTGCTGTCCTTGTACACACTCCTGATCTTGAGTCTAATGGTCCTTTGCTCGATCATCTTCTTTTTGACAGAGGACGGAGGAGGACATGTGCACGATGATAGCTCGCCTGCCTGCTGCAAGCCAGGAGCTCGTGTACGTGGCATGGCTGCATGAGTTCACGTGGTCAACCTCTGATTGGCCAAACCTGCACCCTGCCTTCCTCCACTGGTGTGACACTTCTCGGACTAACCCTGACCAAGTTACCACTAACCACGGTGAAGCTAGCCAAGCCTTGCAGCAATCTCTTGTCAGCATGTAGATTGTCAACTTGATTTCTGTACTGACATGTTACATGGAATGGCACATGCGTAGGGCATGATGTGCATCAGCAATTGTGGTGTGTCAGTTGATTGCTGTATCATGTGAAGGAGAAAGCCAAAGCTGTGGTTGATGTACCAAATTCCAACAATCCGAAGTGAGTAGGTACTTTGGATATTGGAAGTACCTCCACAACTTTTTTGAGAGAGATCATGTACGTACCAGCTAAGTAACAGCATAATTTATTTCTCCACTGGTACTAAGAAAGGAAAACGTCCTAAACACTTCCTATCGTTGCAGAGGGCCCTCAGACCATTGGAGGAGGCCACTTTAGGACTCCCTTCCTGTCACATACCGTACTAGTTGGCATAGCATGAATCCCATAGTACATGCATAAGAAGCTGAGCTGGAAATGTGGTAACACAGTTACTTAGGTGTGGATGATCAGCCTCCGAATGGCATGGGCGGGGGAGCGGAAGCTGGCCCCATAAGAAGTGGGTCATCTGGGTCCTCTGATGGTGGGAGCATGGGGAGGAAGAAACGCAAGAAAACATGCAGTGGAGATTGGTTTGAAGGCCTCAGAAGCTGGTGCCATGGGTATCGGGGTATTCTTGGTCCTCTGATAGAGTGAAGCACAGGGGGCGGGGGAGAGAAGGGTAAGCGAATCATGAAACATGCAGGGGGCATTAATGAAGGGCCTCAGAAGCTGGTGCCACAGGGATTGGGTCATGAGGGTTCTCAAACAGGGAAGGGAGAGAAAGTTGGGAAAATTCATGCGAATAATCATGCTCTGACAAAAGAGGCTACAGCACGAGGTAGGTTGTAAAGCAGGTCGTTCTTATGCCACTGTGACAACGATCAACCCCGCGTACAAAGTAAAATCCGAAAAAGAGCAGGTACAACGAACATACGGTACCAACCTCGTTGTGCAGATCCTTGGACATCTTCCAGTGAGCAGCAGTGCCTAGGTTTAGAAACCTACGGTACGAATATCGCTGTGCACATAGAAACTGGTGGCGACGATTAGATAGCTCAACACCAGCAGGATGCCCTTAAAATAGTTGCTCTCTTCCTCCTGCACCCCGGGCAGATGCAAGGCACGGTATGGGGGGGAGTCGGGCAGACGAAACCTCAGGGCTGGTTGGAAAACAACAGTTCAATCAAGCTGTCTCAAACCAATGGTTGAAGCAGACATTGACCCAACTGGCACAACAGAAGCCCACCTGAAGCGACATTGACCCACCTGAAGCAACAAGGACCCACCCACCTGAAGCAACGTCAGCCCACCTAAAGCAGGGCGGCAACGACAAGCACTGTCATGCAAAGCGTGGCAGTCTCAAGGAGATGGAAGTTGAGGTCCATTGGCACTCCCATTGTCCACCCCACCACCACACAGAAGGGGATCTGTGGGCAAGGGAGGGACGAAGGGGAAGGGGCAGGGACAGGAATGTGTTGGAAGGAAGGTAGGATGGGAGTGGCAGTCTCAAAGAGATGGAAGTTGAGATCCATTGGCACGCCCATGGCCCACCCCACCCATCACACACAAGGGGATCTACGGTCAAGTGGGGATGTGGGGGGCGGGATGAGAGAGTCAGAGTTGCTTTGGAGAGCAGGTGGGATCAGTGTGGCAGTCTCAAAGAGATGGAAGTTGAGATCCATTGGCACGCCCGTGGCCCACCCCACCCACCACACACAAGGGGATCTGAAAGCAAGGAAGGGGGAAGCGAAATGGGCAGGAGAACGAAGAGATTGGGAGGCATGGGGGTGTGAGATGAGGAGAGAGGGGATGAGTGTGGCAGTCTCAAAGAGATGAAAGTCGAGATCTATTGGCACTCCCATGGCCCACCCCACCACCACACACAAGGGGATCTGCTTTCATGGGGGGGTGTAAGTGGGGGAGAGGGTAACGTTGGAGAGAAGGTGGGATGGGAGCAGCGGTCTCAAAGAGATGTAATGGAAGTTGAGATCCATGGGCACTCCCATTGCCCACCCCACCACCACACACAAGGGGATCTGGAGCCGAGGATGAAAGCAAACGGGTAAACTGGGAGAGGGGTGAAGGCATGAAGGTGGCACGGTCTCAAGTGATGGAAGTTGAGATCCATTGGCACTCCCATGGACCACCCCACCACCACACACAAGGGGATCTACGATCATGCGGGGGTGTAAGTGGGGGAGAGGGTAACGTTGGAGAGAAGGCGGGATGGGAGCAGCAGCAATGAAAAATGGAAGTCGAGGTCCATTGGCACTCCCATGGCCCACCACACCACCACACACAAGGGAATCTGAAAGCAAGGAAGGATGGGTATGTGGGGGTTGGGAGGATAGAGACAGGTTGGAGAGCGGTGAGTATGTGGGTGGGTGGTTGAGATCGGTTTGGAGGGGTGGTGGTGGCTTTGAGTCTTGAAGTGGGATGGGTGTCGTGGTCTTAAATAGATGGAAGTCGAGAGGCATGGGCACTCCCATTGCCCACCCCACCACCACACACAAGGGGATCTACTCGAAAGGGTTACGGAGGGCGAAGGGAATGGAGGAATAGGTGGGAAAGGAGAGGAGGGATGGATAGTGAAGGGTGGTTGAGATCCTCTCCCCCTCCTCTCCCCCTCCTCTCCCCATCCTCTCCCCCTCCTCTCCCCGTCATCCGCGGCTCCGTCCCCTCCCCTTCTTTATCCACCTCATTCACGCAATCACAGGTTCAGGCACCCACGAGGTGACTTTTTGAGTCGACTCAAAAGTAAGCCCGCTTTCCTCCTCTCAACCATCCCCCCCACTCCTCCCTTTCCCATCTCCCCCCTTCCCCTGTCCTACCCCCTCTCCCCTTCTTTATCCACCTCGTGATGCAATCACAAGCTCAGCCACCCAGGAGAGGGGGGAGCAGTTATAGCTCAAAGCCACTTTAAGATGACTCAAAGCCACCACCACCCCTCCAAACCGATCTCAACCACCCTCCTGAGCAACAGACATTAATAAATCGTCTCATCTCAAGGCCACCACTCACCTGCCACTGCGCAAAGTCTGAGACGTTTTTAACCCACCAACCACCCTTTCAAACCGATCTCAACCGCGCACCTGTCGCTGAGCAGCGAGTGCTCCTCATGATCGTCATCCGATTCGTGGTGCGAGATGTCCACCAACCAACTGCCACGTGGCGTCCAATGATTCGAGAAGGGAAACATCAGGAAATGGAGCGGAGAGAACGAAGGAGGTTACATTAACGGCAAACATCGCATACTAGGGTTTGGGATCACTTCAGAACAAGTGGCAGATTCACACTATAATTGTAATAGTGTTCTATAACGCATCGGAAAAGGCTGTTAGTAACAGCACCCGGCAGCTGCGACGGTGCACTCAACACGAGCAGATCAGATTGTGAGCGCGTTCAATTGATTTTGAGGAGATACGCAGATGTCAGGGCGATACTATGGATACATTTGCGACGGTCGCGGCTGTTGAAACTACTACATTTGCGACGGCCGCGACACGCAGATCCTGTTGAGTTTGAGCAACTACCGTCGGCAATATAGAACTTTGTGCGGACGTCCAGTTGAAAATGTGATACTGTCGTATTGACGCACTTGCTCTTTCGACGCACTTGCTCTTCCGACGCACTTGCTCTTCCGACGTGAATGCGTTAGTCGGTAATTCCATTTTGGATTCAGTAGCTTTATCCAGACGCCTTCGACTAAAAGGGGCGATCTAGTGCCGATTCAAGCGGACCGCATAGCCAAGCTTTCCAAGCATGAAGAATTGACACACATAAATGCGCGTAATCTTTAGAAGGAAAGATGGAAAATAAGTCGGACGGCATTAGTTGACGCATTTTCCCCAGACATACAAACGTACCTCGAGACTCTTTCTGTTGTTCGACGCCATGAGAGAGCGGAGGTCCCTCCACGAGAGTTATTGAACGCTTACGGCTCCCTGAGGTCTGATGCTGGCTGTCTTCCTCACACGAGAACAGTAGGAAATGCACGATTATTGCAGCGCGATTCGGATCAATTCCGGAGCCGCCTGCTGCATTAGTTCTGGGCAAAAGCACCTGCTACCTCAATTCTGCGGTCGAGATATCGGATCGGGTCAGCGAGACGGCTGAGTCATCACATGCAGTTCTTCCGTGCTCACTGGCGCTGTCATCGCGTAGACCGAAACGATACTGCATTTATTCCCACCCAATACTGCGCTCGGAATGGTAAAACTCGAATAGAAAGGTGTCGGTCGGAGAATGCTGGCCCGAGAACAAAGAGACCGATGGATGGCGGATAGGCAGGGAGGGGGATTGTGAACTCTGTGATAAAGAGAAAGCGCGAAGGCGTGTTCAACAATCGGGGATTTCACCCTTTGAGACCGCGTTGGGCTTTTATTTTTGTCCATTGGATAGAGAACGGAATGGTTAAAAGTGAGAGCAGGATAGGAACGCCGTAGATTCCTTCTACAGAAATACATCTTCTTGACGGTTGTTTCTCCACCCACACACACACCTGATCTGACCCGAACACGGCTGGGGAAAGCCCCGCCCCAAACGCCCAAGACCTCGGAAGTAGGTGAGAAATTCTCCGACAAATTATTTCTCCGAAACCTCCCGAAATTCCCAAGGATCAGAGGTTCTGCGGTTCTGCTTGATTTCCCGCCAAATCTGCTAATACTCCGCACAAGATCACTACTACACAAGATTACCTGTCGAAGCATCATAATTCACGACTACCAGCGTCAACCTGTAGTTCGGTTTAGTACGTTGCAGAAATTTCCGATCTGATAGTACGGTTACTAATAACAGAACATCATTGTTGAAACACTTTCAGGCATTGCGGGATATGCTTCAAGGCACATTTGCCATGCATACGTCCCCGATAGGGACAGGTCGTAATTCGTGAATATCATGCTTCTTGAGGTTCTCTCGTTTGCCACGCATGCTATGAGGACGAGGCGAAGCCGTCGGAGCAGGCCATACATTCGGTTTGAAGTTATCCAATTCGCCAAGCTTGCATTCGTAACGTTACAGCGTGATATGATTTGACATGCAACAAGGCGAGCTTCCTCATTCATGCGGTCCGTAAGCTCAGACGGATTTCGCCTAGCCATAATTATGGAGCAACTTAGCAGAGTCTAAGCATCCGAGGCAACGGACAGTAACAAGACCCAATCTCTTGCAACTCACATCTGACATGTGATCCATTCTCGATCTGTTTTTTTTTTCCTATCCGTTCTCGATTTGTTCTCTTCCCACCGCACCGTTTCACCCGTTCATCAAGTCATCAGAAGCTAGACCTGCTTTTCAAAAAGATATTATTTGCGGCACAATGGTGTTGTAGATCCGATACAGATACAGATACAGATACAGATACAGGTGCCTTCCATGGTCCTTAGCTCTCGTTTGGGTGCTGTCCAATATAGTCATTTGGGTGCTGTACCAATCCTGTTAGTCTGGTTTGGGTGCTGTACCAATCCTGTTAGTCTGGTTTGGGTGCTGTACTAATCCTGTTAGTCTGGTTTGGGTGCTGTACTAATCCTGTTAGCCTGGTTTGGGTGCTGTACTTATCTTGTTAGTCTGGTTTGGGTGCTGTACTTATCCTGTTAGTCTGGTTTGGGTGCTGTACTTATCCTGTTAGTCTGGTTTGGGTGCTGTACTTATGCTGTTAGTCTGGTTTGGGTGCTGTACTTATCCTGTTAGTCTGGTTTGGGTGCTGTACTATATTTTGGTCTGCTTTGCCTCCCCCTCCACTTCTAATGCTCTTGCCTCGATTTTCCTTCTCTCCTCGCCTCAGTGTGCTGCTGTCCCTGCGCCCTTTGTTGTCTGGAGCAGATCATATCGCAGTCCACTAAGAGGGCGCTGGAGCCGGAGTGGCAGGCACCTCATGCATGTGTGCCCTCGCAAACCGCGTGCTGGTATTTTGCCTTTACCGCTCTGTACCACCCCTTGTCTAGAATACCAGCGCAGTTGTCGTATGGAGCAAGTCATTTCGCGGTCCAGCAGGAGGGTGCAGGAAAGGAGAGAGGGGCAGTGTGTGCGGGGGGAGGACGTGGTGGCAGTGGAAGTGGTGAAACAAATGGAAGGGGAGTCAAACGTGCCGGAGGTGGTGAGGCGGATGCTGGAGAGAAACGCCAACGCCATTTGTTTCCAGCTTGAAGAGAACATTGGCAGAGGTGTGTGGTATGTTCTATAGCAGGGAATGGTAGCTAGAAGACGGACAGCTGGTTGCGGGGAGGTAGAGGGGAGAGGTGGAGCGAGGGGTGCCGCAGCTTTGAGGTTAAGGTGGTGAGGCGGGCGGTGCTTCTGATTCTCATGCGGTGTTTGGGATCCTGAGGCGTTGCTTGTGTTTCAAGAATCACCCTTTAGGGATCGGAAGCACCTCTTGGGATCAGAAACACTGCTTGTGGCTCAGAAACATCGCTTAGGGTTGGGTCACCGTTTCAGGATTCGATCTTCTGTGGTGTTTTCCCGATTCTTGGGTGGTTGCATGAGGTTGCCCGTTCGTCGTGGTGGTTCGTATAATTATGCGGTGTTTTCGATTTTGTGTGTGGTATCTTCTTTCTCACCCCCGACGTAGCACGAATAATGAGATTGGAGGAGCTTGTGAAAGCGGGTAATAGTGAGGAGGAGAGAATGGAAGGCGTGGAGCAGATGAACAGCGCTCTGGGGGAGGAGCTGCAAGAGGCACTTGGTAAACTTGAGATGCAAAGGGGTCGAGGCGAGGTGCTGCAGAAGGAGAAGGAGGAGCTTCGGGCAAAACTCGATCGTATGGAGGAGGAGGTGAGGGCGGATGAGTGAAATGGAGGGCTCATGTGTGAGTGGGGACGAGGGGAAAGCATGGGGGGAGCACTGGAGTGGGCGGATGGAGTGGGGGGCTGGTGATTGGGGAGGAGGGATGTGCATTGAAGATTACAGTGGACTTTTCTATGCCATGCTGCATCACGTTTAATAAGTGTTTTCCTCTCTTGTTTTGTGCACGGTCCACGTGCAGTGTGGAGTGGCGGAGGCCAAGGTTGCTATGTTGCTGCAGCAGGTGGCAGCATCTCAGCAAGCAGAGTTTGCTCTCAAGATGCAAGTTGTGGAGCAGGAGAGGCAGAGGGATGACCTGGCACGTGAGTTGGGCGCGTGCCAGGCAGAGCAAGCAAGAAATGCTGTCGAGAGAGACGAGTTTGCCAGCGAAACAGCACAGCTGCTGCGCAAAGAGCGGGAGGTGAGGCAACAGCTGGTGGAGGCTTTGTTGGAGGAGAAGGAGAGGGCTGTGCGGCAGGCAGTGGAGCTAGCGGCTGCTAACGAGAGATGTGCAGCTGTGGGAGAGAGAGCTGCGGTGGAAGAAAGGCAACTGAGGGCAGACCTAGAAGAAGCACAAAAGCAGGTAGAAAGATTAGTGGAGGAGAAGGAGAGGGCTCAGGAAGTTGTGTTAGAGGCAAGAGCCTCAGAGCAGGAGAGGGAGAGGGCTCTGGAAGAGCAGGGGCGGGGTATGGAGGATGCTTTTGAGGGAGTGAGGAGAAAGGAGGTGGAGATTGAAGATGTGAAGGAGAAGTTGAGATTGTTGGAAGAGGAGAAGAGGGCGTTGCAGGAGGCCTTTGGGGTAGCGAAGAGACAGCAAGTAGAGATGGAAAATGTTGGGAGAGAACAAGTGATGGCGTTGGAATGGCAGAAGGGGGTTTTGTTGGAGGTAATCGAGGGTTTGAAGAGAAAACAGGTTGAGGCGGAAGATGCTGGGAGAGAAAAGGTGAGGGCGTTGGAAGGGCAGAAGAGGACCTTGGAGGTTTTGGTTGAGGAAATGAAGAGGAAGATGGAACATCTTAGGAGAGGATATGTGAGGGCGTTGGTGGGACAGAAGGAAGGGCTCAGATTGGAGCAAACGCAGGTGGTTTTTTCCGTAAGCCAACTGGAAGCAAATTGGTTGGAGAGAGAGCGGGTGAATTTCCCTGCAGGCCAACTGGGTCATAGTAAACGATTGCTGGAGGCTGACTCTGCTGCTGCTACCCCTGATTCTGCCGTCCCTTCTACTATGGTTCCCTCCTCTGTTGCTGTCCTTGCTTCTGCTCCTGCTCCCGCTGTTGCTATTCCTGCAACTACTGGTACTGTTATCCCTACTGCTGCTGCTTCTGTTGCTATCCCTGCTCCTGCTGATGCTGTTTCTGTTGCTGCTACTGCTATCCTTGCTCCTGTTGCTGGTATTTTTCCTGCTGAAGCTGCTATCCCTATTGATGCTGCTGTTATACCTGCTGCTGTTGCTGCTGCCATACCTGCTTCTGCCTCTTTCTGCTGCTGCTGCTCCTGCTGCTGTTGCTGCTATACCTGCTGCTGCCTCGTATGCTACTGCTTCTGCTGCTGCTGCTGCTGCTGCTGCTGCTGCTGCTGCTGCTCCTGCCGCTGCTGCTCCTGCTGCTGCTCCTGCTGCTGCTCCTGCTGCTGCTCCTGCTGCTGCTCCTCCTGCTGCTCCTGCTGCTGCCCCTGCTGCTGCCCCTGCTGCTGCTCCTGCTGCTGCCCCTTCTGCTCCTGCTGCTGCTCCTGCCTCTGCTGCTCCTGCCTCTGCTGCTCCTCCTGCTGCTCCTCCTGCTGCTCCTGCCTCTGCTCCTGCTGCTGCTCCTGCCTCTGCTGCTCCTGCTGCTGCTGTAGAGAGAGCAGTCGCCTTGGTTGACATTGCAACGATTGGCCTCCCTCCTTTCACAATTGTGAGGCAAGTCAAGACGAGCATCAAAATGGTGAAGGGGCTGATAACATCTGTCGACCAGGGGAAATACCAGAGCACCTGTGTGGAGCTGAAAAAACTACAGGACTTACTAGACTCAGCTAGTGATGGCAGTGGTGATGGTAGTGGTGATGGCAGTGGTGTTGGCAGTGGTGATGGTAGTGGTGATGGCAGCGGAGGCAGCGGTGTTGGCAGCGGTGTTGGCAGCGGTGATGTCAACTCCGCAGGTGGACCTCCAACCTGGTCGGTTTATCTTCAAGCATTCTGCAAGGAAATGGGGCAGTTGGATAGGGATTACCGGCTTAGTCATTACCATCAGCGGCCAGAGATAAGGTGCAAAATCTGGGGCAAGTTGCACGAAGCTGAGAGGCTGCTAGGTGAGTGGGAGTTCTATAATGTCACTCGCTCACCAGATGGAGGGAGGACCCGGGCGCTCTTTCACCATGGCCCGAAGAAGAACCGGTCTCTCGGATTATGGAGCGACGACTCTCTTCAGTCATTCTCTGCTGCGCGAAAACTGGTTCTCTCTGCAGAGTTTGCCTTTGCACGGAGCGAGCACGCAGTGGTGCGTGGGGCAAGGAGGTTGCCGGATTTCTGGAAGCATTGCAAACGATTCCTTGGAGAGCCGCTCATGGGGAAGCTGGAAGCGGTTACGAGAGAGCAGGCGTTTAAAGCCATAGAAACGCATACGTGGGGGGGCTTTGTTGATGAAGTTGAGAAGACTGAAAAGGAAAAACTTATCAAGGAACCATGGCCGCTGGTGTCTAATGGAGGTGTGTTTGGGAAGAGGAGGAGGAGGAGGGATGAGGGGGGGGAGGAAGGACGAGGAGGGGGAGGACTGAGGAAGAGGAGGAGGAACGACGAAGAGGGGGATTGAGGAGAAGGGAGCACATCGAGGAGGAAGAAGAAGGGTAAAGAAGAGGCGACGTAGGCCAAGGGGTAGCATCGGGAGGGGACTGGCATGGCAAGTGGGAAGGGTGTATGATATGCTCTTTACATGGGCTGCTGGGGTGTTTATGGGGGTTGCTGGGGTGTGCATGGGGGTTGCTGGGGTGTGTATGTGGGTTGCTGGGGTGTTGCTGGGGTGTGTATGTGGGTTGCTGGGGTGTGCATGGTCTCTGGGGTTTCCTTGCGAGTGTGCTTTGATTTCGAATTGTTCTTTCATTTCTACCTGGGAGCTGGTGTGCACAGGGCGTTAGAAATAGTTGGACATTTCCACGTCTAGCAGAGCTCACTAGCTTAGGCAGAAGCACCAATGTACTTAGCCAGTCTAGATAGAGAGTTCTTCGCTGGTTCGTTTTGTAGGTATCCTTCCCTTTTCCAAGTGCAATTGCTGATGACCTTGCCAATGGGGGAATTGTCAACAAGACTAGGCAAGAATGGTGCATTGAATGAAACAATTGGGTACAAGTAGCAAACCCTAGTTTGGGTTGTACCCCATATTGGCTACCCCACTACAGCCTACCAACATGTAAGACATTACAATTTAACACACCCCCATAGGCAAAGTGGGGGAGAACAAAGGGTCACAAGACCAGTCCAGCAAAGCAACGCAAGCCCAGGGTGGATCACAACGTCACCACACTCCGAGCACAAGTAAAGGCCACAAGGCCAGTTCACATGCAGTGCTAGATATAGTACAAGACAAGCAACACAGTGATCAAAACCTAGCAAGCAAGCAACAAGATATATATAAAGTACAGTACAAAGAATGTCAAGCAGTAAGCAAATGAGGGAATGTGGACACAATGTCAAGCAGTAAGCACCCCTACCGCACTGCCCCACTCCCCCCCCCGCCTCTCTTCCTCGCTCCAGGTGCTGAGGTACCAGACCCCCTCCCCCCTCAGGGTGCCGCTCCCTCAGGTGTGTCCCAGGTAGACCCGGGTGAGCCTGTCGAGGTAGCTGTTGACTCGCGTCCTGCGTCTGGGGGTGCTGAGCCTGGGGGTGCTGCGTCTGAGGGTGCGGAGCCTGGGGGTGCTGAGCCTGGAGGCGCGGAGCCTGGAGGTGCGGAGCCTGGTGGTGCTGAGTTTGGACGTGCTGAGTCTGGACGTGCTGAGTCTGGGGGTGCTGAGTCTGGGGGTGCTGAGTCTGGGGGTGCTGAGTCTGGGGGTACTCCACCTGGAGGAGCCCTCTCCTCCCAGCAGCTGCAGGAGAGGTACCTCGAGTACTGCCGCCTCCGGAGAGGTGCTTCTGGAGCTCGTCCCGGTACTTCCCCTCCTACCCAGGAGCTCCCCCCCATTCAGGTGATCCGCGAGTGGTACACGCGGCGCTGCAGTCTTCGTAGTGGTGCTCCTGGTGCTGCGGACCCGAGCGGTGGAGCTGCTGCTGGTGCTGAGGACCCGGGGGCTGGAGCTGCTGCTGGTGCTGAGGACCCGGGCGTTGGAGCTACTGCTGGTGTTGAGGACCCGACCGGTGGCGCTGCTGCTGGTGCTGAGGACCTGACCAGTGGCCCTGCTGCTGGTGCTGAGGACCCGGGCGTTGGAGCTGCTGCGGGTGCTGAGGACCCGACCGGTGGTGCTGCTGCTGGTGCTGAGGACTCGGGCGTTGGAGCTCCTACTGGTGCTGAGGACCCGGGCGTTGGAGCTGCTGCTGGTGCTGAGGACTCGGGCGTTGGGGCTGCCACTGGTGTCCCTGCTGTTTCTGGAGACGCTGCGCGGCCGCGACCGTACTTCGTACCGCTCCTTCAGCAGGTTCTTGGTCAGGCTCCTCCTCTTAGTCCTCCTCCCTCCGTAGCGTGTCCTCCGCCTGTCCAGCCGCAGTCACAGTTACCGCCTGTCTCGCCTCTCCCTGCTCCCTCCCCTTACACTGGTCCCACAGGAGGTCTTACAGAGCGTCGTGAGCCTGAGTCTCGTCCTGCGTCGCCTGTTCGTCCTGCTCGCACTGGTCGTCGTGTCCCACGTGAGCGTCCTCCTCCTGTCCCTGGCACTCACTACATGACTCTGCGTCCCTCCACTGCTCCGCAGCGTGTCCCACTGCCGTCTCCTCCTGCGTCCTCTCTTCCTACTCTTCCTGACCCGGAGTCTGACTCCCGTCGTGCTGCCAGTCCCACTGTTACGCGTCTCCTCGCTACAGTTGTCACTGACCCGACCTTTGAGTCCTCTGCTGCGTCTGCCCTGGTCGCTGAGTTGGTTGACTTTGCTGCTCGCTGTCGCCTAGACTACGCTGCCAGCCTTGTCGCTAGGTCTGAGTCTGCGTCTGCCTGTCCTCCGTCCGTCGGGGGTGAGTGTGCCCTCGGCACGGACGTCCTTGAGGACAGACAGGAGGAGTTCCACTGCCTTGCTGCTGCTTTGCCCCGTCTCGTGTCCTTGCTAGTTGCCCCTGAGGGAGACCCGGATGCACCAGACATCCCGACCCCACGCTCTTACGCTGAGGCGATGGCGGGTCCCTACTCCTCTCAGTGGCAGACAGCCATGGACGCAGAGATGGCCTCCTGGAAGTCCACAGGCACCTACGTAGACGAGGTTCCCCCTCCTGGGGCGAACATTGTCAGTGGCATGTGGATTTTCAGGGTGAAGCGGCCGCCGGGTTCTCCGCCTGTTTTCAAGGCGCGCTACGTGGCTCGAGGCTTCAGTCAGCGAGAGGGAGTAGACTTCTTTCAGACCTTCTCCCCCACCCCGAAGATGACTACTCTTCGGGTGCTGCTGCACATAGCCGCTCACCGCGACTACGAGCTTCACTCTCTTGACTTCAGCACTGCTTTCTTGCAGGGCAGCCTGCACGAGGAGATCTGGCTGCGCCGCCCCCCTGGCTTCACTGGGTCAGTTCCTCCTGGCACCCAGTGGAGGCTTCAGCGGCCGGTCTACGGTCTCCGCCAGGCGCCACGTGAGTGGCACGACACACTGAGGACGACACTTGCGGCTCTTGGGTTCGCTCCCTCTACTGCTGACCCGTCGCTGTTTCTACGCACCGACA